TCTGTTGCTACAAAACAAGCCTAAATCATCCGTCTCTACCACAGGGGTGGGTAACTCCAGGCCTCGAGGGCCGGTGTCCTGCAGGTTTTAGATGTGTCCTTGATCCAACACAGCTGATTCAAATGGCTAAATGACCTCCTCAACATGTCTTGACGTTCAGAGGCCTGGTAATGAACTAATCATTTAATTCAGGTGTGTTGACACAGGGTGAGATCTAAAACCTGCATAACATGGCCCTTGAGGCCTGGAGTTCGACACCCCTGGTCTAAACCACTTACAGTTGTTTATATGCTAACCTGTGCTGCTATATTTTTTAGAAAGAAGCTTTCTGTCCTGGGAATTCTTCCAAAAGAGCCACTTGTCCAGTCTTTTTCTATTAATTTTAACATGTAACATGCTAACTGAGGCCTTCAGAGTAGCTCATGAGTTTTTGCAAGAGCTTGGAGAGGAACTAGAAGTCTTTGAGTTAGTTGAGCCAATTGTTCTTCCTCTTTGTTAGATAGGCTAGCAAATGAAGTTCTTCTGTGCTAATTTTATTATTTGGCTGAGGTGGAGCCGGCAGAATACCTTGTGAACCCATTTGTGGTTTTCCTGAAATATCCCATTAGAAGGATGCTCTGAGGAGGGCCCAGGGATTTATGGAAGAATTACCACATCCTACCAGGAGCTGATGGAGGTGGTTGGGAAAAGCATTACTTTGTTAAGCCGCATGCCACCATCAACCAGATACAGATAAGCAGTAGCAACATATTTCAGTTCAAGCATGTTTTGGTCTATGTGCACACTCAGTCTGTTTTGTCATGCTGAATGCCCAATTTAGCTACTGCTGACTGATCAGAGCTGAAAACAGGCTGAGCCCACAGCTTGGTGACACAGGAGTCCATATGTACCAAAGTATCAATGCACTCAGAGTTGAAAAGAGGGAGAGATATCAAAGATGCTTTCCTAATTGGTTGCAACAAATGTAATTATAATCTCTGTAATACCAAAAAGCCTGAGCAGTGGATATAAAAGGCTTTCTCCAGACAGCTTAACTATACAGTTCATCCACAGCCTGAGCCAACAAAATGATGACAGAGGCTGAAAGTCTCCTCTACTTTGGAAGGTCCTTAAATAGCCTAAAACGCCTAAAGTGAATGGTTGTCTCCATGTTCTTCAATGTTATGAATGAAGGAGAGAAGCTTGGATAATAAACACAGTATTTTGTAAACTTTGGGAATGTGCTCAGTCAGATGATACCAACAGCAGTTTAATGGAGTTTGTTTTGGACGGCAGTCCATACAAAGAATCCTCTGAGAGAAAATTGCTCCCCATGGCAAAGTATTCAAATTCTGGTCCCAATCACAAATTTATAACTTTAGCATACACTCTGCACAAGGAGAATCAAAATACTACGCACTCCTCGAGATGTTTTCTATGTTCTGCAAGCTATAACTTGCAATACGTAGGACCCATTTGATGCATTACATGATCACTGCTGAGAGGTCCAAACGATTTCTACCATCCACACTATTAATTCCTCAAAAATCTACTTAGACAATAGAAAAGGTAGTTTACTATGTGCAGTTCCAGCAATAGATGGGTATAAATATCCTAAGTCCTACCCATCCCTTTCAACTGAAGTTGATAGGCAGATTGGCTATTAGTAGCTATCAATCATTTTTACGACTGAGTTGGTTGTTGTTGCCATTTTAATGAAATATTAGCACAGAAGCTTAGAGAGTCGGAGATTATACAGAGGGGGATTTTGAACAACCTGAAAAGACTTTGGAAAAACCATTAAAAAAAAAAAACCCAAAAACTAAAATGTGACAATTTCTTAGACTTCTCCTGGGTGCTGATGTTGCAGTATTGTCTGAGTACTCAGGTATTCAACCCAAGTACTGACCAACTGCAGAAAAAGTGTCTACCTGTGCCAAAACTCTGAGAATAAATAGCCATAGCCATAGGCTAAATTGATGTGGCTATGTGATGACTATGTCTGTGTAAAGTAACCAACACAGCAGGTATACAGAGCCTTCAGGTTGCAGAGGGATATCCAGTAATGTACTGTGCAATCCTTTCCACTCCATTCTTGTATTTTTATACATCTTTGCATGTACATAATTTTATCTACTGTCTCCAGTACTTTGCATTTGTCCTGTTTGTCATTTTTTTGTTTGATAAAATGACCTCAACAGTCATTACACAAGAGAGATTACCTATCGAGTGGAGATAATAAAATTAGTAAGTGGTAAAACACCCATATGCCTATCACAGTTATATCAGTATGAGAATATATTGTTTGTTGGTCGACGTTTAAACTGCAGCAGAAATATCATAGACTTTGAGCTCATTATCTCATAATCTACTCACCATGCAACACTCACACTCCTATAAATGGTTCAGTGAAAGTTCAAAAATCCACCTATTAACAGACTCAGAGTTGTAGCACTAATAAAACAATGAGAAGAAAACTATAATCTTCAGTAGGCGCAGAGGAATACATGAACTTTTCAATGCACACAAAATAAAGTCTATGTGTGATTACATCCACCTGCATTTTCCTTCAGAAATGACTTACATGTCTACTCAAAGCCTTGTTCTCCACAGGCAATCACTGTGGACAAAGCCTCTTTTTGCTGCCGGGGATCTCTATGGTGACCAACAGACAACCTCAGTGTAATGTGAAGACTCTGGAAGCTCGAATGGTACATGCTAACATGCTCACTTAGTTTGTGCTTTTATGTGACATGAAAAAAAATATTTGCAGAACAAGAAGAAGATATCCAAGTATGTCATGGAATTTTAGGAAAACTGAAATCATGTATCGTTTCACCACAAGCAAGGCTACCCAAGTGTATCCCACTGAATGGCCAATATCACACAATCAGAAAAGCTCTGCCAAGTTTCCCATCAGGCAGGAATTTCGCTGATGGTTTGTAGCAATACAGACAAGCCAATACACACTTTACACGTAGTGTAAAGTCAAGGGGCAAAGATACAGGCAGATAAAATTCCAGTTAAATAGAAGCACAGCAAAAGGTGGGAACTTGGTTCACATGGAATGTAGAAATGCTGTATGTTTGATGAATGAGATACTTTTGCAACTTTAACAATAATGATTTAGAGGGCCACTGGAGTAACTTCTTAAATCCTTGCCAAGTCCAAAGATTAGAAACTATGTTATAAAAAATGGGTGCAATGAATACTTTTGTGATAACAGATAACCAGTGGTATTACACAAGCAAAAAGCTCACTTTAACAAACAGGCAATAAGTAAGAATTTACACAAGAATAGCAAATTGACAGGGTTTCTGCCAGTTGATTACAATTATGGTGGCAGTGGTTGCACCATGCAAAACACAAGACTCAGAAATCCGATAGTCAAGGCCAGCAACATCTAGCTCTTAACCTAATGTTACGTAGCCCAAGAGCTAGCTTTACAAACATTAGCTCAATGAGCGCTTGACGCAATGGTCCTCTAACTGAGCTTCGCCTCTGAGTTTGGACAGCTAATCCGTTATCTATTTAAATCATTTTTTTTTTTTTTTTTTTTTTTTAAATTGTACAGTGTAGCATTAGCTATTTGTCATAGCTATTTGTCATAGGTGGCCACGAGTGAGATTAGCTAACACTGCTACTACTGCATTTCCATATAAAAAAGTTAGAACAGCTAGCAGTTATTGCTGTGCAAAATATCAACTCACTTTAGTTAGGAGTTACTACAATGGACATTCCGTGCTCTGGTTGCTTATGTAACTGTTTATGTATTCCTCACCAGATTACGCCACAGTCAGCAATGTCCTTTGTTTCCACAAGTAGTCGCTTCGGTCAGTCAGCTCAAAGATGAAGTTTGAATGAAGAATAAGTTCTATAGTGACGCTAGTCTCTTCCTACGTGAAGCGGGTGTTCTGGGCTTCATGAGGCTAGCCTTTGACTAGGCCTTATTGTGTGAGAAACAAAGAACTTGTTTTAAAAGTAATTAATTATTCATTGAGTAGCAGAAAACATGAAAACACACTTGTTTTGTAAGTCCCCCCCTCTTTATAACTTTCAACCTGTTTATAGTAAACACATTTTCCACTTGCTCTGGAAATAAAATAAAAAAATCCACTTTTTCCTGAGAATCCTTACTAAAATCTGCTCTCCATTCTGAGACCTGAACACAGCTTAACACACCTCCAGGCTATTTTGCAATGCTCTTACACAACATTTAAATCTGGGTCCAGACTTTGCACTGGCTAAACAGTTACATAGCAAACAAATTCTTGCCATGTTTGTGACCGCTTCAAACCATAACCTTATAAAATGCTTTCATAACTGACAGAAAATGCTCTGCCTTACAAAGAGGCATGATTGTGGTGAACAAATGAAAGAAAACATGTCATAGTACTCCACCAGTTACGTTGACAGGTCCCTGAACATTACCATTGAACCAAATGACGTCACAAAACCTCTAACATACCTTAATATTCTGAGTGTTTGAGTAATAACCACATTCACAGCACAGTCTCAGCTCTCAGTGAGATCATTTTAGATAATATTAAAAATGAAAAAAAAAGACACGCTCATTCTCAGAATGTATCAATTGTGACACATTTCCTGGTCCAACGAGACAAATCTGACAAGAAATTCAGTACAGAAAGCAGACAGGATCTGATACACTAACATTCTGTTGAGCAGACACCTGTTATTACCGCAGTGTGCCACATCTTTGTCAGATAGCAGTGCATATACTTTCATGTATTTTCATGAACTAAAACTATGCCAAAAACAACCTTTAAGATTAATGGAGTAATGAATAATAATAATGATACAAGAAATACAACTCACTCCTAGTCAAGAAATTAACAGCTGACCATTTTGACGTTCGACCTTACAATTCCACGTGTCTACCAGTGTGGGTTTAATTAGAAAAGAAAAAACTAAAAACAACATTTTAAAAAAGAAAGGAAAGTTCAGGGTGCATTAAATAAAGTTTAGTACTCACTTAAGTGAGTTTCTGCGCTTTACTGTACCTTGGTGCTTGAGCTGACACTATGCCTCTCGGATCTCTCCGAGGAAGAATCCCCGTTCTCAAGCGGGGCAGGGGTGCCGTTGCTCTGAGTGTCCCCGCGGTCTGAGTCGCTGTCACTGCCTGGTATGGGAATTCCTTCTGTGACGAATTCTTTCCGGCACTGTAGGTTGTGTTTTTTCAGCAGCTCCGAGGTCTCGGGGTCCACCACAACAAGCTCTAAAGCCCCAGAGGTTGCCCGTATCTTGGCGACCACTTGCTGATGACTGTCCCCCTCCACGCTCTCCCCATTCACGAACATCAATCGGTCTCCAGCCAGGAGCCCGGCCTCGGAGGCGGGAGTGTCGGACTCCACGAGCCTGATGAACTGCCCGATCTTGCCCTTCTCTCCGTGCAGGTGGAACCCATACCCGCTGGGTCCTTTCTCCAACACACAAAGCCTGGGTCGAAGTTTTGACATGTTGGCGTTTTGTTAACCAACGAAAACTTTTAGCCCCCCTATTCAAACAACTTTCAAACAGTGAGCTTACGAAAAGAAACTGACACCTGTTGCGCACAGTGACTTTGCTACAGTTCTACTTCCGTTGAACTAAGTCTCAGTGAGATTTCCGCTGCTAATGTTGCCTTTTGACTCGTTTCACAGATCCACCCCTGTGCACTATGTTGCAACGTCTGGGTTTTTTTTCCGACTCCAACCTAACACGGTCCCGTCTTCAGTGGCGCTACCACGAGTCAAGTTAACGCATTCAAATGAACATCCGCCATCAGATTTTCAAAATAAAACTCATAGCGTTAACTATCATCATTCTTCTTTTATTATTATTATTATTATTATTATTATTAGTAGTAGTAGTAGTAGTAGTAGTAATAATAATAATAATAATAATAATAATAATAATCAGATACATATTTTAGTAGGTAGGGTAATACATTGCATTTTTCAAAGACCAGATAACTGCAAGTATATGTTTAGTCCTTAGAGTGGTTCGTTTTTAGTGTTCACAAAAAATAAGAGGCATGCTTAAAAAAATAAAATCAAATGTACCTCTAGCAGTCAGCTGGTCAAAAGAAAATACATAATACAGAATGATACTGTTGTTTCCTGTAAGATTGTATCTGTACAGTCAAACACACTACCTTAATAAATGTATTATTGAACCTGTATTTTTCTAGTACAGGGACATATCATAATTTTAAAAAGTGGTGTTAGAAAACTGTTACATGTCTTTATACAAATTGAGCATTTTAAACGTTTAGAGTAAATCAGCCTGGTTGGATAGTTTTACTGTTATATAGCCCATACAATATTCAGTCACAGTATTTGGCAGGACTTCCTCACTGGCAGAACTCAGGTGGTGAGGGTGGGCAGGTGCTTCTCGAACAGCATCACCATCAACACAGGAGCACCTCAGGGATGTGTCCTCTCGCCACTGCTCTACTCCCTCTACACTTCAGACTGTGTGGCCACCCATGGCTCCAACACCATTGTGAAGTTTGCTGACGACACAGTGGTGTTGGGTGCCATCTCCAACAACGATGAGGCGGCCTACATGGACGAAGTGAAGAATCTGGCATCGTGGTGCCAGGACAACCACCTCCAGCTGAACGTCAGCAAGACCAAGGAGCTGGTGGTGGACTTCAGAAGGGGTCAGCACAGAGACTACAAGCCCATCATCATCAATGGAGCTCCAGTGGAGAGGGTGCAGTCCTTCAAGTATCTTGGTGTCCACATCTCCTCAGACCTGACATGGGCTGCCCACATTCAGGTCCAGACCAAAAAGGCTAGGCAGCGCCTGTATCACCTACGACAACTGAGGAAGTTCAGGGTCTCTCCAAAGATCCTCAGGATTTTCTATACAGGGGCTGTGGAGAGCATCCTCACACAGAACATGACATCGTGGTTCGGGAACAGCTGTGTGAAGGACCAAAAAGCTCTCCAGAGAGTGATCCGTACAGCAGAACGCTGCTGCAGGATTGCTGTCCCCCCGCTTCAGGACACCTACACCAGGAGATGCCGGACTAGAGCAGCGCAGATACTGAAGGACCCGTCCCATCCTGGCAACAAACTGTTCCAACTTCTGCAATCTGGTAGAAGGTTCCGCATCATCCGGGCAAGGACAGAGAGACTCAAGAGGAGCTTCTATCCCCAAGCCATCCGGGCCCTAAACACACACACCCGCCGTCTCACATCATCTATAATTGACTGAGACAGGACTCTTCCAGACACTAAACCAAGGCACAATGTACATTTCAGTTCCTTTAATTTTAAATATGTTTATATTGTCTATCCTGTAAAATAGTCAGATGTCTATTCATATTAATGTACAGAATTCACCTGCTTGCTGCTGCTATTACTGCACATTCACCCAATGTATATACTATATATATATAATGTTCTTCCTCTACACCCCCCCCCCCCCATTTTTTGCACATGTCGAGGAGCGTGTCAGGCTACATTTCACTGTGTGTTATACTTGTATAACTATGCATGTGACAAATAAAGAACCTTGAACCTTGAACTTGAACTTGAACCTATTTAAAATATAAAAATCATATGGTCTAACCAAACCTCACATAATGTCCAATCAAATTTTAAGAAAATTGTATGATATGAAATTATACATGATATAAAAATGATAAATAAATAAGTAAATAATCAATGAAACCTTGCAATATGAGATAAAATGGGACCCCACAAAAATGACCTAGCTTAGTTACTTGAAATGCTTTAACAGCATAAATTCAGATATTTAATAAAATACTATGAGATGAAATTTGGAACAGGATGGTTTCATCACATACTTGATAAGTCTGAAAGTTTAAAGTAAGTATCCTACTTTCTCAACAAAATTTCTTCTCTTAAGTCCATCTGCTTAACAGGTGGAGTTTATGTTTCATTTGATCTGGACTGAATTTAGTGAGTAGATTATTTCAGCTGTACTAGAACGGCTACGATGATTGTTAGACAACCCATGCTATTATTTTGAAGGCCAGGCCTACAAACAGGAAATTAGTTTCTTTCTTTTTTTTTTTATTCCTGTTGGGTTTTTACAACTGTGCACCTGCACTAGATGGTGATGATGGTGATTCTGACAAACAGATCAAAGTAATGACGTTAGTTTTTGTAAATTATTTGTTCAGTCCATCTGTCCTTGCTCGTTGTGACTTACTGCAACCAATTACCATCGGGGGTATGGTAATCTCACACACACACACACACACACACACACACCATTGCGGCTATGGTGGTTGTCTGCAGGTAAGAGAGCACCCCTGCAGGTAAAAATAATTTATTTATTTTTATCCAGCATACAGCACATAAAACACTGCTTGTGGCAGTGGTGTTGTCAAAACAGCTGCTCAATAGACAAAAGGTCTGCTGACCACAATCTGAATAATTTAGAAGTATATCAAACCTGTCCAAACTTAGTAACACAGCAAACATACACTCATCAAGCAGTAATATTTGCAGAAGAGCATTGTAGACTACTGTCCAAAACAAATGTCACAAAAGCAACCTTTCCTTAATGTATTAACTCGTGTTATTTAAAATGTGTAACCTGGAGGGACAGACACAGAGAGAAATACCACTCACTACTTCCCCTCTTCTTTACGTAGCAGTTTGACATTCTTCAGCTCATTATGGTTTTCTGGTCAATAAAAACTTGTACTCCCACTCTTTTATTTCAGATTTCAAAGGTTTTGGTAAAACTCCTGTATGCTCTGTACAGAATGTCTCTTACAGCGTTAGCAAATAACACAGTGTAGCATTAAGATACTACCAGGAGATGAATGAAAACAGTTTGTTTTCCTCTTCAGAGGAACCAAAAAATGTAATGCAGCTTTAATGCATTGATGTGAAAATATCTGTTGGAGGATCTAAATTCAGCCCTGAGCATTTAAAAACTGATTACCCAAATTTACTGTTCATATTAGTGTATTCTTATACAAAAATAAAAATGGAGGCACTTTCAAATGCATGTTCAGCGTGCATGTGCAACTGAGCTTTTAATTGGCCTGTAGAGCAAAAACAAACTATATAAAGTGCTAAAAACGAATTATTTATTTCAACTGACATATTCATCAGTTGACTTTTTCAGTAATTCATTCTTAGAAAAATCCGATTATTCAAAGTACTGCGTATATCTTAAATGAACTGTAATTAGTTTCTCTAAGGCAACGAGTTTGCATAATTTTTTTAAATACTGTCATCTCATTAGATCTTACAGTGCTGAAATGGTCTCAGTGGAAAGATGGCTGTCAAGAGGCTCTTGTTAAGGAATGGGAACAGAGAGAAAAGGCTTACCTGTGCCAAATTACACAAGAACTTGAGTGAAAATCAGTGCTAACAGGTCTTATGCAGTGATAAATCCAAATTTGGCTCAATGAGTTGCCAGTAGAGGTTGAGTTTCAACAGCCATCTGTAAGTGGAGACCTTTTCATGGTTTGGGGCTGTGTTTCACCCAGTGATGTTGGGGATATTGTCAAAACTTGATCAAATTACGGATGCAGATAAGTATGGTCAGAATTTGAACTAGCATTCAATACCATCGGGCAAGCAGCAGATTGATAATGGCCTAATTCTTCAGCATGACAATGATCCCAAACACACTTTATGTACAATAAAAGCACACCTGGATAGAAAAACAGACAATGGAGCACTTGGTTTGACACCCCCCCCCCCCCCCCAAGAGATGCTGCAACTATTACAAGGGTGACCCAAGACTTTTGCACAGTATAACACCATATAAAATTATACAACTCATGCTGTATGTACATAACGCTTCCTTAAATAACAGACAACAACTCAAGTACTTAGTATCGAATGTTCGCGCTTCACAGTAATCCTTCTCCCAGAGACACAGTTCACAGATGCATTGCTCTGCATGCCAATGTTTATTCTACATGCTCCAAGTAGTTTAAGTTCCTTACATACGGTCTACAGTTCATTTAGAAACACCAGTTAACCCAATATGCATGAGAAAAATCATCACAGGCACAGGGAGAACATGCAAACTCTACACACAATGATCCCAACCAGGGCTTAAACCAGTAACCTTGTTGTTGTGAGGCAAAAGTGCTAACCAGCCTAGCACCTTACTGTCCACATGTGAGGAAACAACAGAAAATATTAACAGAAATAACTGTTCCAAAGACACATGAATCATATAACTTCACCAAGAGAAAATACATTTTATATAGATAATTATAATTTATTATAATTACTTACAAATAAATAAATAAATACAATTTTAAAAATAGAAGATGCATGTAAATGTCATGAAAAGGTTTTTAATTGGATTATAACAAATATTCTCTAAATGAAAGGCTCCTTTAGCATCGGTTGCACTGCACTTAATCAAAATTAGTAAAAGTTCTCATGCTAACAGGCTAGGGTACACTGTCTGTTAGCATGGTTCATGTTAAACAAATGAGAAAACTATGTTATGGAGTTGTAGGTGGTTTGTGACAAGGTCAGGCTAGCTGTTTGCTCCTGCCTCCAGATTTACTAACTCTTGACTGCAATTGCATTAAAAAAAAAAACAAATACAAGAGACTAATATTGATCATCTAAGTTAAAAAAAAATTCCTGAGGGAATATTTTGTAACCTATCAAATAAATAACTACTCTTTCCTTGAATGTACTTTAGAAAGCATCAGTAGTGCAAACTGACGTCTGGAGAGTTGGAGGTATTCAGCTAAAGAAAATTTGTGTGGGTCTGTAGCATGGTTAATCCACTGATGTACGTTTGGCTTTTAGTCTTGAATGAATGGCAGTGTAACATTTTGTGAGCAGCAGTGAGATACAGGGCTTCCTCCCACTCAGTAATGTGTCTCTGACAGTCTGTTCGCCCAGAGCTATGGGAGGAGGAAAAGTTGGGAGATAAGTTTTAAAAGTAGCTGCAGCAACCTGACTTCTCCTTCTGTGCCTCAATATATTCATGAATCTGGAACTTGGGTTCACTGGGATGCTGGATGGCCCGATGCTTCAACTCCCTGAAGAACAGAACAAGGCATATTTTAGAAGATAACACTGATATTGATAGAATTATTCTACTGCAGAGGATTGTGGTAAGAAAACACAGATAGCATCATGAAAATAGTAGTGGACTACTTAAGAATAAATCCCTTGCAATAAATATGTTAAATTATATAGTACTAAGGGAATTGAAACATTTCTTTATAATGAATCCTGGAATTTTCTGAAAATATATACTATGTTCAGCAAAGATGTGAGATAAAATTGAGCGATGTGAAAAAACAATCTCAAATTCAGTAGTAACAACTTTGCTGCTGTCATATGAAAATGAAATTAGTGGCAGATAGATACAGAAGAAGAAAAGCAAATGATAATAATTTATCTTTGTTTAGTCCTATTACATGACTTCTTGTTGGCTCAAACAAGGACCATTTCAGATCATACACATCTATAGTTTATGGACTGTTCAAAAGCTACTGTGTGGCGTCTGTGTCATACTTGGCCACAGCAGTGAAGGCCAGATCTACATTGACCCCTGTCTTGGCACTTGTCTCCATGAAAGGAACTGAGTACTCCTGAACACACAAAGAGAGCACAACACATTAAGTAGCAAATTAAACGCTATCAGTTGTGTTTTTATGGAAATAAATGAAATACTCACTCTGGCCAGCCTCTCTCCTTCATCTCTCCTGATCGCTCGGTCACTGCTCATGTCGGCCTAATAAACACACATTAGTTTAGGATTTTAGGAAAGACTTGGTGCAGAAAAATAAACACATTTAAACTATTAAGTAAAAAAAAAAACAATGTACATCTTGATACAGCTATTTTTTTTTAAAGCTGAACAAAACCATGCACAGGTATGAGTATTTACATTTTTAGACTTCATAATATACAAGATCAATCAGGATATTTATAAAGGAAAACATATCTTGTGGAATTTTCAGTGTTTGCTACCACTATTCAATGTTGAAGAGTAGATCATGTAATAAAACTAGTAATCTAACACGTTTGTAGTAGTTTGCTGGTAGTTCAGATACTTTTATACACGCATAGTGATTGAAGTAGTGCAGCGACTGTACATTTGATTAAATTTACACTGTTTTTTTGTGAGGACTTGTAAATTTAATATATAACAAAATGTGATACAGCATCATATATGTTATATATAGCTTTTAAAAATGTTATTATTACTAAGCTACCTACGATGTGGCGCCACTCACATTTTTATCATTGCATTCATATTGTTACATATACTTAAACCCGACACTTGAACCCAAAGCAGCACTATCACTTTGCTCTAACTCTTTTATAACTCGTTTACATTATCTTTACAAAATGCCCTGATCCAGAAACTGCTCTGTCTTCAGCACAGATCATATCCTTCTTTTGCACTTTTTGCTCCACATGCTAAGCTTCTCAAACAATTTCCTCTTACCTTGTTGCCCAGCAACATGATGACTACATTGCTCTGTGCATACTCGTGGATCTCTGTTAACCAAGCCTGAAGCAAGAGACATACAAACACACTCATAAATAAATCTTTAACTGTAGCACATTTTCATATTTTCCCAGGGTGCAAACACAGACTTACCCTAATGTTGTCAAAAGATGACTTGCTGGTGATGTCATACAAAAGGAGCAAAGCTTTGGAAAGAGAACCAACAAAAATTGAGTGCCAATGTAACACCTGTGATGCTGTGATATGGATTAGGGTTTGTATCGCCTCACCGTGTGCATCTCTGTAATACGCATGTGTCACGCTTCTGAACCTTTCCTGTCCTGCTGTGTCCCATATCTGAAACAGAAAAGAACTGGCCTGTTTCCACTTGGCTACTTCTTATTTTCACTTATAATGGTGATGCCCAAGAGGAAACCAGCCACTACTCTAAAAATAGAGTGCTATTGTGTAAGCACATCAACTTTGCACTGGAACTGATTTACTTACTGACCTGCAGTTTGACCTTTACGTTATCCACAGTCACCACTTTATTCTGAGAGAGGTAGAAACAGAAGAACAGTACAAGCAGCTAGTAGAACAAATTAAAAATGCAAAGTACAAAGACAAGTTATCTATGTTTGTCGATAGTTGTGGCTTTATTTCTTCAGATTTTGAAATATATGTTTAGTGAGAGAAGCAATGTACAACTACCTCAAACCTCCATTCCTTTTAATGGTCAGCAGGCGGTGACTCATGTTGCAAAAAGAAGTCACAACGTATAAAAACTTATGGGAAAGAAAACCCTCCCACTTGCTTCATTTAATACTATATTAAATCGTTGCAAACTTCAGAATTGTTTTAAAAAATATTTCTAAATTTCACCATTTAAGCTTTCAGCGGGGTGGTTCTAATTACATTCTCATGTCATTAATGTAGATAGTATTAAAGATAGATGTAGCTTTAAGGCTTGGAAAGTGAAACATGTAGGTGCAAAAACACATGTAAGTCCAATGACTGTAAGGAAATGTTTCCCTGGCCCTGACGTCCTATATTGAATAATCTGCTTGGCCCATTTTGTAAATTTTCATCAATCAAGTGATAAGTTTCACAAAGGAGGATACTCCCGGTGAATTACTTTTCAATCACAAGTCATTAGCCAATGAGAACCATCCCTTTCTCATCACATCTGGTTTCAAAACACCAAGACAGAAAGGGTCATCTTGAGGCTTGATAATAAGAACCAGTGAGTGACGTCACACTAGCTACTGCCTGTGCTCATTACAACCCCTCTTCTGCATTGATTTTAATGGCACTGAGTGGCAAATGTGAATCATCAGCTTTTTATCAAAATGAGCAAACTCTAAAGAGGATGGAAAGTATTTATTTGCAGATTATACATATAAGTTGTATAATCTGCATATATATATAAAACTGAGACAGACTGGTGACCTGTCCAAGGTGTACCCCACCTCTCACACAATGACACTTAGGTTGCCTCCTCTCACACTGCTAATGTCTGAAATGCCAGAGGCAAATCTAAAACCATGGATAAATAAAAGCCAGTCCAATTTCATTAAAAAAAAAAAATTGTTCCATGCACTCACTGTGAATCCGATGCCCACTGTGGCAGAGAATGAGCCAGGGATGAACTTGCCCTGATCAAACTGCACCAGCAGAGATGTCTTCCCCACACCACTGTCCCCAACCAGGATTGTCTGTAGGAAAACACATAAAATCCCACAGTTAAATTTCTTACCTCTATAGCCTATATATGGTCTAAGTATATGGTAGAGGCACAGTGTAAGCTGTGGTGACCCCTAGTGATACGGGAGCAGCAGGAAGTAGCCTGGCTGCAGTCTCAATTGGCCTTGAAAATCTCTTTATGGTTGAATGCTTGCAATCATTTCATAATTTTCAGTTGTGAGTCAACATCTGTGTCATGGTCGACATTTCTGTTTCCAAGCAGCACCGACATTTTCTTTTCTAAGAGCCTGGCAGTGTACCACTATTACCGCATGACTCACAAGCCAGAGGAGATAACCTTCAAGACAATGAAATCAATGAAAGGCAGCATTCACACATCCAACTTAGTCACCAGGACCATCAGTCAATATTTCATTGTCTACTGCGCTTTAATTTCAGTCACACCAGGGTACCCACCACCTCCACACCCACAAAGTGTCCTTTAACTGTGGCAGATTAAGTAAGTGCGACACAGTCAAGCTGTTCTCTGCTCTCTTCAAGGAGTGATCTGGGAGTTTTGATGCAGGCTATGTGGCTTTTATCTTGTGACAGCCAAATGACTACATTTTATCCTGTAGTGAAATATATTATAAATATTATTGCCAGAAGAAAAATGCAGTAAATAATGCATTAAGCCACAAGAATGATGGATTTCTTCAATCATTATGTGGTCATGTTTAGGAAGAGACAACTAAAAGAAGGATTGTAGATTGTAAAGACAGGCAATGAAAAGACCTGTGTTTGAACGTTTGTTCTTGAAAGCTTTAAAAATTGCAAAAGGCTAAACCTAAATTTTTTAAGCATAGGTTAGGGTATATTGGCTACATATAAGTTTTGAATAAAATATATGTAAATATTTTGGTAACCCTTTGCAAGGCAAAGGAAATGCCATCTTTAAGAAACTCAGTGCCGAAATCAATGCCAATCTTTGTTCTTTGCCAAATTCACATTCTTTCCTCTCTGTGGCACCAGGGTAGTTCTTCATTTACACCCAAATGCATTTTATAGAGTGGCAGGTTGAGACAATAAAAATCTTAATTATGTTTATAGAAAGAAAGTTAGGCATAAAAAATAGACTTCCATTCATTAACTCCCATGAAAGAACCTTCATCTTCACACTCTTAGATTTCACCTTAATACACATTCAGTAATGTATTTTATGCACTAATTAGCTGCAGTGGCCGTTAATCACTGGGGTAGAATACTAGAAGAGCTACTGGGCTGGAGCATCCACTACAGTTGCTTTATGATTCAAATGCAGATGTGCTGTCAGAAGTGGTCTTCACTTGATGTCTAGTAATAGTAACCATGGAAATGTAATAAAGTGGTCTTAAAAAGGCAACAAAACTTTCAACCAGTCCTGTCTTGATAAAACTCAGGAGTACTCATTGTCATTGTGGCCAAATATTGTGTGAAAAGACAGTAAATGTGATTATCGCTCTTGGTCAGATATGCACAAGTAGGCCTGCCTTAAAATTGCACTGAATGACAAATGGCCCAGGGGTTAAAGCGCTGAGTTTTTCAGTGCTGCTTTCTTAATAGCAGGTGACTTTTCTGGCATGCTAAACTAATAGAAAAAGGTTCATAAATTGGGATAGAATGCATAAAGTTCTTGAACTTGAACTTGATCTGATGATGAGCAGTTTGTAAAGAACCAAGACAAATCAAGAAAAAAGTGAAGGCATGACACTCATCAGATAAACCAGGCAGTGGTTGAACTCAATTTTGCCTCAAGGCTTTATGAATGATCAGGGATAAATAAAAGAAGTGGGGGGAATGGAGGAAAGGATTAGAGCTGAGAAGCTAAAGCAGCTTTTGTAGCCTCATTTGATTTCAGCATATGGAGGATTTTTAGAAAAGAGTTACATCCCAGTGTGCTGGATTAAATATGGATACTGCCTCAACAGTCATCCAGTGAATTTTCATATCAGCTTTACTCAGGTGTCACCAGCAAATTCACTTCCTTATTCTTCCTTTGAAATACACCTTGTACAGAGAGGCTTTACACGTATTCTGCTTTTCCAGTTTACTGTGTGCTGAAAGGTGGGGAGCCGCACAGTAAAACTCACAGCATAAACCTAAGGAAAATTGTATCTGGTTTTACTTTGATGTAATAATGCTTTTAGGCAATAAATTGCTTTGAAAAATCTGTTTATTTCTCCTTAAATAGTGCCACAAAAAATGCATTTGCAGGTTGAGTAGCAGAGTTGAGTGTGTGGGTTGTGTACATCAAAAACCAAATCTTCTCTGCCAACGTCAAACAGATTATTCTGCTATTGACTCTTATTTTGAGTTTCTGGTACTCCAGGTGCTGATAACCAGGTACCCAGTTGGTGCCTGATTAGGGCTCTTTTTCTAAAGAGTGGAAGTCTACTCCTGATGGCTGTTGGTAAGACCGCAGGTTAAACTTTATAACATCTGCCAGTACATTACTTCGTAGGGACATAGGAAGTGGTGTACTGGATATACCACATTTCACTGATCACATTAACTCAGTAGAAAAATTATTTCAAGCTCACCACAGATGATATGAAAAATGACAGGTTAGCCTTCTTAGACTGTGAGATTTCCATCAGTAATGGGGATATTTGAAAGTTGATGTGTACCATAAACCTACGCTTACGGATCATTATTTAAGGCTTGTGCTTCTGCTTCATCCACTGAAGCACAAACTGGGTGTCATCAGGATGGTACAACGCAGAGCGAACACCATCCCCACAGATACAGATATCTCTGAATTGAAGAGAGGGCCTAAGGGTACATCTTTGACCATCTTATAATGCTGTGATTGCAGCCATTCCCCAACTCTCTGCGAATGGTACTCATGGCCATTAATCAATGGTCTTTGATCAGTGGTTGTTGATCACATTAACGATCAAGAAACTGACCTGACAGTCCATTTTTCACCATTGATTCTAGTTTCGGTCATTATGCACATGTACTGTTTATAATGTTGGGGAAACCTGCAGTCAGCTGAGACTGAAGAAGTCACTTGGATGAGTGAGGAAATGTTTCTCCCACTGAAAACGCCACGTCCAGATGAACAGAATTAACTTTTTGGGATGTGGAAGATACATCTGTCTTTTACATGCAGTCTGTGATCACATAAGCCACTGACTGCATCTAAATCTGAAGGCATTAATTTATTTAAATATTTTGATCTGATCCTGCTGTGATTCAGGTGTATCACTTTCCTCTTTACTGGACATAACTGAGAGTGTGTAACATAATGCCTCCATGTGTACATGTGAAGATGGAATTAGTGCTGAGAAAAAAAAAACATACTCATTGTACTCACTACACACGTACATGTGGTGATGCTACTAAATTGTAGTTAGCCGAGAAGTGAGACTGTCTCATGAAACCCCTCTAGAGACAGGAGGTAATTAGGCGAATGCACCACAGATGTTTGGGAATTACACACTGATGATGTATATTGTGTATATGTGTTGTAGTGCGCGAGAGAAAGAAGAATTAGATTTCTCTCATCTCTGTGGTTCACAGGCAGATTGCTAAGTGCCTGCAAATTTCCTTTCTAGCCTCAGTATGAGCTTCTGTGGAGGTTACTGAGGCAATAAGCATGGGATGTCTTTTTACAAGTCGTTGGAGTAACAGCATTAGGGGATGGGGTGAATTTAGAGTGATACAGTTCTCTGAAATGTCACTTTTCTCTTCCTGGAGCATGTGCAGTATTGACCAGAATGTAATTTAGCTTGACAGTTTCCAAATTGCCACTGATTTAAGCTTTGATATACTGCACAGCTGGGGTTTGAAACCACAGAACAACAGGCGATAAAGTCACTGTTTCCAATACTAAAAGTCAATGTGCCCTGCAATCTGTAAGACCAAGTGTTTGTTTTTTTAGACAAATTAAAGTCCTGTATCCATCTTTTTAGTTCTGTTTTGGTCTGCTGCTATTTAGCTAAACACTCAACCAGTTAGTTGATAGTGATGTCTGCTTTTTTGTGGTGGACAGGTAGCTACCATGGTTTTACTACACTTACAGACTTTTTTAAAAAGAAAAAAAAAGGAAAAAAAGTGCTTTGCAGCTTTAAAAATGTGTCTTTTGGATGAGGGCCATGGAGAGAATGGAAAAAACAGGAAACCACTGAGAGATACAAAAGAATGCAATGTTTTTGTGGGTATTAATGTGAAATATTGGCAGTAATAAAAAATACAAAACCACTCTGTCTGTAAAGATGTCTCTAAGCTAATCTTTCCAAAAATATTACAAAAGCAGTATTAGGTTGACTTTATTAAAAATGTCACCTGGGACAACTGTGAGTATTGAAGGGAGAATTAATAACAGAACGGAATCCACAAACCAACTGTAACCATTTCAGCTTCATGAGTAAGTACTGGCCTCACCAACGAGCTCTTAAAAAGAGCCTTTTTTGTTGTGTAATTAGAACTCCTCCTGGGAGGAAAAGGTAAGGCAGAGTGAAAGCCTGAGAAGAGTGAGTACAAAAGATAGGATAAATCTTTATTAGTCCCTTTATTATTTATATTGGCAAAGGAAGGGCAAAAAGGCAAGACTGACTTTTTCAAGTTCACTTGAAATTACTCTTCTTGATTTAGACGCAAAGAACACGGAGTATTCTTAGAATATGACCCCTTTCAGTGCACCTGCTTCCCTGACACTACAAGTCTGTGTGTGGTGTGTATATGTGTGAGCTGATATAACAGTCACATGTTAGAATTGCATCTATCTTTGTGAAGACTCTCACTGCATTCCTTAGCCCTTTACAGCCAAACAATGCCGAGTAAATCTACACACAAAATCCACCCCATGACAGTGATGATGGTTTTTGGAGTGTTTGGGAGTAAATTTATTAAAACTTAAATACTTAAAATATCTTTTTACACAAGTATTCACAACCTTTTTTATGATTGAAATTCATTTGAAATTATTAGGAAAATCACAAACGTTTCTGCATAAGGTCTTATAGCTGGCAGTGCACAGAATGTATTTGTTATGGCAGTGACTCAGACCACATGTGCATGTGTGTGCATGAGAATGGTAAAGAAGTACATCCAGACTTTTCATAAAATAAAAATATTAAATATATATTAAATAAAAAAGTTATTTCATTTTCAATTTCACAAATTATAATTGTGTTGTTTGAACAATAATCGGCTGCTTCCCAGCCCAAGTCTATGTAAGGAAACTCTGAATTGCATTTAAAAGATAGGCTTTGTCTGAGCCCGCCATCTTCAAAGAGTAAGCCTGGTCCTCCGTAATGCTGTCCATCACCTCCTCTGCACCCAGCTTGGTGGAGATATCAATGCTTTGTGTGCTGCAGCAGTGCTTCCACCTAGGTCAGTCAATGGCAGGGCCCGGCCTGCTCTAATTCATTTCATGTTTAATTCTACCTTCCTTTGGGGTCTGCATTTTGGTCCCAACCAATCACATTCCACACTAAGATGACACATACACATGCCTTTAGACTTCAGAGAGATGAAGTGAATTTGATTCTCTTAATTTCCCAGAGACTCTCTTTATAACCTTAAACATAAGTGTATGCCTAACCTTGCCAATAACCCTGAACCTAAACCAAGGATCTGGGACATTTATGAGTGCAAACATAAATAAATAAGTAGCAAGATTATAATAAATTTCTAAGGCAATTAAAGGCAGCTAGTTAAAGGGAACACATTTTTGACTTTACCGGATAGTTTTATTTTAAAGTTTATGTCTTATCAGTTGAATCAGAGTATTGATGTGCTAATTCTGCTCAGTTGCTATATCTAAAAAGAGAGAAATTAGAACATAGTAGGCTGAAGGCCAGATGCTTATCAGAAGAAAGATATGCCATTTGAATGACATGACTCCTCCAGACTGAAGGGAAATGGTTTCTGCAACACAGCTCTGAAATACAATGTGACATTTCACTGAAGCCTAAAGGGAGCTCCTCTTTTATCTTTGTTCCATCAACAGTGAGGTCAAATGGGAGCACCAGGAAGGATTCAGTGGTTCTCTTTAAATCCAGACATTAATGTAGCTGATTTAGCCTTAACTGCTTGCTGCGAGCACAATTAAGCTTTTTGAATGACAAATGGCTATATTGTACAGTTTTTGTGACAACAGTCAAAACATGATCACATTCACTCTGACATTTTAGTGTGTTTGTGTATTTTAGTGTGTTTGAGTTATGGAATTTAAGGTGTCAGAAATAAATTAGTGTATTTACTCTTGTATTTATGAGTTATTTGAGCTTTGGGTCGCAGTAAGGAGAAACTGAAAGTGTACTTGTCAACTAAAATTTGAGTTTGAAATGTAATTTTATTCTACAGCACTTTTTGGTGATCAACACCTAAATGTGAGGATTGCTTTGGGAATTTGGCGTTTGGTTAAGACATTTTTTCAAAGAAAGTGACCTCTTTTAAAGCTTTCCTGCCCTGACAGCAGGAAGTAATCGGCTCATATGTGAAGGGGGACCTTCTTGTAAGCTGACAGCTCATCTCAGAAGGAATTAAGTGATTTGACACACATTAGGGCTGGAAACAGACCAACTATAAATTGCATCTGAATGTAAATCAGCACCACGTGAGCGCAAATCCGGTCAAGGACCGGGATGCTGCGGGGTTTAGAAACGTTTCCTCACATTTCACCAGTAATAAACATGAAGAAATAAACAAGAAGCAAAATCACGTGAAAAAAACGCGCAGCGTTTAAATGGTACAAGTAAGTGCATAAAAGTGCTCCTGGCTATGAAACCTGTTGTTGTATCATGATGACCATATGGTCGTACCTTGTGCACCAACTCCTCGTCATATGTTGGAGGTGGTGGAGTCATTGCCTGGCTCTCGGTTGTCTCTTTGGATCCGTAAGTACTGTCTGGTTGGATCTCCGGGTAAGCCGTGGTGTAGTATGCCGAGATCGGCTCCATTGACTCCATCCGCTCCATCCTGAGAGTCCTTCACTTCACAGGCTTCTTTATGACAGCGTCGAGGAAATAAAAAGCTGGTAAACCTCGCACTGTCGCTTCAGCCGACTCGTCGTCTCACAGCCCTCAGCTCGCTTTCTTCTCTCCTCCTCTCTTCTCCGACAGTCCACGCTGTTTAACTGGCTCCTCCTTTACAGTGAATCACAGTCTGTGGGCTTCTGCCTACATCACTCCACATGATGGTATGTCGTGATTCACGCACATCACGCTGCATGAGTGGTCAGAGGATGGACCGAGAAGGATTGAATGGCTGTCACTTTTTTTTGTTGTGGTGGTTTTTCTTTCAAGAGCTCAGATATTCGTTCTATAAAGTTCGACATCATTTATTTTACCCAGTGCTTTGGATCTCTGTGTATATTTCCAAAACAATGATATTATACTATGATATTAAAAAACGGACACGAATGTATGTTCCGTTTAATTATAGTTGTTTTAGTAGAAATAACAATGAGACAGGATAAGATAACAAATGGTTCATTTGGGAAATTCTGTTAAAGTAGTTGAAAATTATTATTATTGTTATTATTATTCATTCATTTCCTTTCATCCCTTATGAAAGGAGAGGCGAAAATGCCATAATTCACTGTGATGTCCCTGAGTTCATTTATGAAAAACAATCAACATAATAAATGACTTAGTGCAGAACATGTAAATGTTAATTGTAACTGCTGAAAAACCCTACTTGTTAAGATGTTGTCTGCCCTGAAGAACATAAATCTATATTAAGGTTAATTATAATCAATTAATAATGTTTGTTTTTGTATTGTAGGCTTTAGCATTATTCAGTTCAGTTCAGTGACTGTTATTGCATTTATATCCTAGGGAGGAGGAAATGAGTTGGTCAATTGGATCACAACAGGCAGGGCAAATTATTGTGATACTGCATATTGCAAATTTTCTGCAATATCACACTGAGATCTACTAATAATGCACTATAATTTATTTACAAAGATGGAGCCAGTTCACTTTAGAAATAAACAGCATTCTGCCCAGAGCTGCACATATTAGCAGCTCAAAATTCAGCAGACCTGAAGGGGAAATGTAAGGAAGGGAGTGGAAGGCCTACTAGCCAAATAATCCAGTGTAAATTCAGGTTTCAACATATGTTTCGCTCTGAAAACAGCATGAGAGGAGAATAAAGGAGAATCAATATGCTTTTGATTTAAGGGCTAATTTTTCTGATATAATCAATGGGCACAGTGCAAAAGGTTCTGTGTAATTTATCCAGAGGAGGGCTTTATTATTTCAATAAGGAGAGGCCATTAGAAAGAATGAACATGATTTATTGATGTAGAGAATTAAGATAGAGATATTTGGTGGTTAGACTCCAATGGCCTGACTCAGTGGAACAGAACCCCAGGTGTGATAGGGATTAGAGGAGGACCCCCCAGAGTCTAGACGCTGGTGGTGGAGATGAAGACAGTGGCTTAGATGGAACCTAAGTGATGAGAGGCGGTGATGAGGAGGGGGTGGGCTGCACGAAGGCATCTGCAAAGGAGAATGACAGATTCAAAGTATGTGGCACGAATGCTGATTGGCCTGAAAAAGGCCGGGAGAAGATGATTGGACTAGACCAGGGATGTCACAAACAGCTTTACAGTGTGGGAAAGTGGAAGTGATGTCAAGCTTAGATTTAGTCAGCAACACCAGGGAGCGGACAGATGTGAGACCATAGAACTTCGCTATTATACTTCGCATAAGCTTCATTACAAACTGTTCCACCGTATGAAACTGAAGTGTGGAACAGCTGACCCGTATGACTTGCAGAACACAAAACAGTATTTACTGTTATTGAAGTTGCTTTGGCATCACTGTGTATAACATTACAAAGTTTAAGGTAACAATACATTAATACAGTAATATAATCCTTCTTCTATATTACGCGTTTACATAGCAGTGGGTTTCTTTTAATGCTTTCAATTATTTTGGCTTATAATTTAAATCAAGTACTGTGAGATGTATTGCTAATACATTTATGAAAACACAAAATCTTTAAATAAAAATGAAGAGAACTGGATCAAGTAAAATTTACAAGCAGAAGTCTGTAGGTTCAATATTTAGGAATTGTAAATAACTTGGTTGTACCAAATGGCTGTGTTCACTGCATGAACTATATTATATGTGCAGCTTGAAACAGCTGAAACAGTAACAGCTTGTTGTTCTGTCTCTGTCCTAAACCTCTTTGTTTGTTTTGTTTGGTGATCCTGATGGTGGTGGTGGTCATCTATAGAAAAGAACCTCTCTGTTGCAGGCTTAGACCATATAGAAGACAGGAGTACACAGTAAGGAGTACCAACTACCACCGGGGTGGCTGTAGCTCAGGTGGTAGAGCAGATCAGCCACTGACTGGAAGGCTGGTGGTTTGATCCTTGGCTTCCCCAGGCTACATGCCAAATATCCTTGGGCAAGATACTAACCACAAGTTGCTCTCCAATAGGAGTGTGAATGTTGGTTAGATTGCACTCGAGTATAGAAGCAAGTGCTTGTGACTGGGTGAATGAGGCATGTTGTTTACAGCGCTTTGAGTACTCCGGGAGAGTAGAGAAGGGCTATATAAGACTCAGTCCATTTACACTGCTATTAATTATTTAGCTTGTCTTATGAAATAAGACAGAGGTTATTCAATTGGGCCTTAGATTAGGGCTTAGGAGGTTAGCACTGTCTAAATTGTAGGTGTATAGACAAATAAAAATTTATCTGGTGAAGAGTGAGTAGATAACGAGTAAAACAAACTAACCACTGTGGGTCCAAATCAAGCCATTACTTTGTAATAACTTTGTTAAATCTGCCTTCTCTTGAATATCTTCCCCACCAAAACAGCAGGCATTCTTTGATCGGCATTGCCAACAATGGGCACAATGCTGCCCAGAACTTGAGAACTATTGGACCAAGGTAAGGATAGTCTGTGTGTGTCAAACCGAGCTTCCTAGAAGGCTGTTCATCATCGGGATACCAAATAACTATCACTTAGATGGACATTTCCCACCAATGTCTTTGCAAGAGCTTTTTCATAAGGAGGACAGGCAGAGACAGATCTAGAGCATGATCGGCCGGTACTTTGACCGTATAGGCTGCCATGACGAGATGAGCTGGAGATAATTAGCCTCACTTAGCATAAAGACTGGAAGTGGGGTCTAACAGCAAATCTGACCTGCTGTTGAACATCACAAAGGATTCTGTGCAGGCCAGTCAAGTTCTTCCACATCAAACCTGCTTATCCGTGTCTATATGTTGGAATACAGGCACTATCCCCAAACTGTTCCCTCAAAGTTGGGAGCACGAAACTGTCCAAAGTGTCTAGGTGTGCTGAAGCATTAAGAATTCCCTTCACTGGAACTAAGGGGCCGAGGCCAGCTCCTGAAAACAACATTACATCATATTCCCACTTCCACCAAACTTTACACAAGTACCGATCTTTTGACAACCGCCAAACCCAGACTCATTCCCCAGACTGCAAGACAGAGAAGCGTGATTTGTCACTCCAGAGTCCAGTGGTGGCATTACAATAGGGGGTCTGACAGATGAGCAGTCATTGGATGTTCACCTGTCAAACCACACTTGGAAGGACAGCTGAAGACACACAATGGCAGAGTCAATCATATGCAAGGCTCCAGAGGCCAACTTCCATGTACTGCACAGACCTCAAGGATTATGCTCTTTGAGGAGGCTCTTCATCAAGCCACAACATGAGGGCACTTTCCATCTTTTGCAGCTGGTAGACTGACAACAGAGCCATCAGAGAAAGGAAAGGAGTTGTGGGAAGCGAGTACTTATGCTTTGAGACTGCTGATTGAGCTCTCTGATTCTCGAGTATTCTCATGATAATGACCATGACTCAAGCAGTACATTCCTTAATGATGTGAATGACTTTGTCATTGTCAGAATTGTCTATTCCTTTAACATCAGTTTCCAAATAGTAACTGTTCTGAGTTCACCAGTGACCGTTAGTTCCATTTGAGAGGAAGGTATGAATGCATGTTTGATCTTTAACTAGATCAAACATTTACCATAGAAATAAAAAACCACAGAGCATCTCAAAGATGCACTTTGAAACTTGCATGTTTTTACATATATTGAGAATGGTCCACACTGACCTGGTATTCAGAAACTCTAAGACTCTTTATTAGGAGGATCATCTATACTTTAAATCCAAATACATATACAGTGCTATGCTTTAAAAAGTAAACTTCTCTGGTGCATTGTCAGAGTAAGCAGTGGATACCAAAAGGTTGATTCTGTTCATCTGGATGTAGCGTTTTCAGTGGGAGAAATGTTTCGTCACACATTGTCTCATACGACAGCATTCCAGCTCCTGTTCAGTGGACCACACATTACGCTCACTTGTTCAGAAACCTCTAAAATACAGCTGTTCCTGTTTAACTCATTTCAAGAGACAAACTGTTTTCCTGATTAATCCAGATTATTCACAACTGATCTGGCACAGAACATGATATTTATTTATCTGTAAAGATTTTTTTTTAAAATAAAAAAATTAAGATGAAAAGTCTTTGCATTGTAAATGCCAATATATATAAACAAAAAGAGATCTTTTATGCCCGTGTGCAGTTTAAGTACCAAGCCTTGTGTACATTGCTGTGGAGCATACACAAGATTGCATGAGTGTGTGGACAAATCTTCAGTTAGAGCCAGATAAGCCCCTTCATGTGATTAGTGAAGCACTTATGTGGTTAAAAATGAAATGTAGGATATGAAGGTGCAGAGATAAGCAAGATATGGGATAATCAATTCAAAAAATGATCATTGGGCTGTCCTCCAATGAGTGTTGAGTATGCCCAGAACACCCTACCCAGGAAGTGCCCATAACCGGGTCATAATGGCAGCTGGCTTTTATGTGAAGGAATAACGGGTCTTGGCAAATGAGTAAAACTCAGCTGCAAACAATCCCAGTACGAGCTGGAGGGCACGTAATCTGCAAAAAGTACAGATGAGATCCTGAGACCACCAAAGTGGAAGCCTTCTACCACTTGGCTACACCAGACAAAGCTCTAGGTGTGGGTGTAGTGAGTCCAACCTTAAAACTGAACAATGTTTTTAATATAATGGAGGAAATATCTTCTTTTATAAGATTTAGAAACAAATATTAAAAGTATGAGGACAATGCATTGTTTCATCAGTTCATGTTTTCTTACTCTCCTGTAAATTAAGTATTGAATTGTTTA